TAATATATAAACAATAACCTTGACATTAATATATCAATGACAATAATATTGATAACAATATATCAATAACAATAACATATCGATATCCATATATCAGTAACAATAATATCGATATCAATACATCAATAATAATATTGATATTAATTTACCGATTGTCAAAAACTATAAAAAGGAGCTGCAAGGCTCGAGTCGAATCGTACCTCCTCTTCCCAAATTGTGTACATTTTTGTGTACAAGCCCAGCGTCAATTACGAAAAATTTATTGTACTTGGATCATCGCGTCGCAATTCAACCGAGGACACACAATAGAACACACCTTCGATCCGAAAGATCGTAATCGCACAGAAGATTCCAAAAATCATTGTCACACAGTCACGTTAAAACCGTCGCATCAAAATAACACGAAAACCTCGAAACACGCACGGATCGTACTTGAAGATCACCATGTCATAAATCGACCGAGGACACCTGAACATCATCGATCCAAAAATCACAAAACCTCATGGCCATCTCATTGAAAGAACACTGGCGAACCGATCAGCATGCGGATCACAAATATCGTCACACCTGAAGATCGTCCCATTGCGTCTGAAGATCGCCTCATGGCTCCGGCGGGGTCGTTCGAGCAGCTGAGAACAGGCCAGCTACTTCATTCGGTGAAAAAAACGAGTTCGGACAAAGGGTTTGAGAAGACGCGGCGAGGCGAACGTTGCTGGCCAGGTCGCCGAGGAGTGAGTTTAACAAGCCTCGCGCAAAAGCTCTCGCAAAAGTTTGTGCAAAAGCTCGCGCAAAAGCTTGCAAAAGCTCGCACTAAAGCTCAGGAGCTTGCGAAAGCTCGCGCTAAAGCTCAAGAGCTTGCAAAGGCACGCGCTTAACCTCGCGCAGAAGCTTGCAAAAGCTCGCACTAAAGATCAGGAGCTTGCAAAAGCTCGCACTAAAGCTCAAGAGCTTGCAAAAGCTGGCTCAAAAAAGCTCCCGCAAAAGCTTGCGCTGAAGCTACTGCTAAAGCTCGCTCTAAAGCTCCTGCGAAAGCTCGCACAAAAGCTTGCGCCAAAAGCTCTCGTGACAGCTTGCGCAAAAGCTCCTGTAAAAGCTCGCGCAAAAAGCTCGTGCTAAAGCTTCCGCAATAGCTTGCGCAAAAACTCGCGCAAAAGCTTGCGCAAAAGCTCGCAGCCGAGCAGAGGATGTCTCGGAATTCGAACGAAACGGCGAAGAGATCTCGCGCGAGAAAAAGAGAGAGGGAGTCGTGGCGTCTCGACCGCGCGACAAGGAGGGCGAAGGGTGAAAGACTATGATGCATGAGCGAAAACAGTATTGGCCTGATTATCGAGAGCAACATCATTTCTGTCTTCCAGGCGGCACCGAGACAGACGCGGTCCAGGCGATCCTGGCCAGATACCTTCAGAGGCGTCTTCAGGGCTCGCAGCTGTCGACCCCGCCGCCGCCGGCGGTCCTCTTCAGCAGCAACAACCAGGCCAGAGTGAGACAGGCCGCGCAGAGGGCCGCCAGCAACGGCAACGCCCTGTCCAGGAACGCCAGCCAGAAAGAGAGGCGGGACGACGACGCCGAGGATTACGACGATTACGAGGACGACCTTCAAGGCTACGAGGACAGCGAGAGGAGCAGGACCAGATTCGATCTGTTTGCCGGTAAAGTCCTCCTCTTCGCGGCCGCGGTTCACCTTCTCTTTGACAACGCGTATGCGCGGTATCGCTTTCCCTTTCGTCGTCGTCCGCCGCGGCGGCGGATCGGATCTTCGGCCTTGTCATTGGCCGCCGCTTCGTCCGGCTCGCGGCGTCGCCGTACGCGGATACTGATCACGCGATGATGCGTGCTTCAGAGAGGGCACCTTTGACGTTCGTCGACTTCGGAATTTTCTCAGTCAAAGCTGCCATGTTTTTCTGACGATAGGCTACGCTAAAGGTATCTGGCGCAATTGCCATTCCATTGATGCGAAATTAGATAATTATTTGTAGCAGACGTTTCTTTTTAAATATAAGTAAACGAAAGTACATTACACGCCATTTCGTTCATGGAAGGCACCCTTCCGTATTTTCCAAATCTCGTTTTCTTTTTTTTTTAAATAATTCGTCGTCATTTCTTCCGATTAAATATTTATTGCTAGGGGTTGTATTAATTATATGTCGCGTATTTATTACATATTTGTCCGATTTAAAGTTGATAAGAATTTTATATTTATATCCTCGTAGCATTTGGGGTGGAAATAATCTCGTTTTTCTTTTAATTAATTCGTCGCCATTTCTTCTGGTCAAATACTAATTACTTAATTAATTATATGTTGTTTATTTATTAAATATTTGTCCAATATAACCTTGACAAGACTTTTATATTTATATCAAGGTTATTTGTAAACAATCTCGTTTTTAACAAATAATTCGTCGCCGTATTTATTACCAGAGGTTGCATTAATTATATGTTGTTTGTTTATTAAATATTTGTCCAATTTAAATCTGACAGGATTTTTTTATTTATGTCCTGGCATACGAGCTGCAAACAATCTGGTTTTTTTAAAAATTAATTCGTTACCATTGCTTCTGGCCAAATACTTATTGCCAGGGGTTGTATTAATTATATGTTTCTTATTTATTAAATATTTGTCCAATTTAACGACGATTTGTCCAATTTAAAATCACCAAGATTAAATTATTCAATGTCATAACTCAATTATTTATGTCATAACATTGGCGATCTCGTTTCCTAAAATAAATTCGTCGCCATTAAACCACTAACCAAAAGCCCTTTCCGACCGCTTCGCTCGAGAGACAACCATCGAAACGTTGAATTCCGTAGCGAGCCGCCGCCGCCGTCGGAAATTCGTCGCGTACAATGAATTTCGGGCCGGGCTCGCCACTTTTCATCGGCGAACGGGAATATGCAACATTATCCTCTGTCACGAATCGGTCGGTAAGGAACGGGTGGGTTGGGCGTGAACAGAGTGACCGGTCAGGACGAAATTGCGCACCTGCACGGTGTAATGCGATAACAAGGGTGTAGGGGAGCGTGCATTGACGTCACGCGATGCCGCACGCGTCTGTTCCGGGTTCCGGGTTATCCGTGTTCCGGGCGCCGGGTTCCGGCGGCCGAGCCGCCGTTCCGAGGCCGTGTTGAATCGTTCGACGCTAAACACGGCCGCCGTATTGGCCGCACGCCTCGAGTCTCGCTGTCGCATGTCGTTTCGGCGCAGGGTACGCGCTCGGCTGTCACAAATGCCGCTCTCCTCGGCTCGGCTCGGCTCGGCCGGGCTCGGCCGGGCTCGGCTGGGCTCAGCTCGGCTCGGCTCGCTCGCGGCTCCTCTACCTGTGCACGCGTTTCTCCGTCGAACAAGACGGATTTGCGTCGCGCCGCTGCAGCCGAGCGGCGCGGACGTCTCGATAGCCGCCATAATCGAGAGAGCTGACTCTTCTCTCCTCTCTCGTCGCCTCTCTCCGTGTCTTCCTCTGTTGAGATTACCGGGAACAGGACTGAAGAACGCAAGTTCACTGATTACGAATATACTTTGTGCGACGGAACGACAAAAGACGGTCGCGCCGCAAAAACATAACCTAAACGTAGACTGAAGTAATGGAACCGGTTACCGCGGGACGAAAAATTGCGTCTTTGGTCTGTTCTCGGGCGTAATTGATTTGACGTTCATTGTGAATAAGACGTTTTAATTATTTTTTGATTGAAAGATAATAGAAATATAAAAGAATAAGGAAATATAAAATATGTCTTATGCGGTTAATGTACAGTTGATTATGTTTGGACATCAACTAGAGGCACAGTAATTGGACTTCTCACGGTAATAGGCTCCACTAGAACATAATGCGATCCACGATAGTATTCGTACACCTTTTGAAATCGCGATAGCTTTTTTCGAACTGCGTTATGATTTGAAAATGGCTTGAATTTATTTAGACGATAGAAAGACTAAAATTATAAACATTGAGAAAGGAGATTAAAAGCTAGTTTAATGGACAATGACTAAAATACTTTCTAATTTTGCAATTACTTGAAAAGACAATATAAAGGACATGATAAAATCTAGTTTTTCAACTTTTATTTAAATTGCTTTTTTATCTTTTCACTAGGTTAAATTGCGTAATTATAAGCTTTCAATGTTAAATTATTAAATTGTGTAATTTTAAATTGTCAAGGTTATATTGTATAATTTTAAATGTTCCATGTTAAATTGTGGAATTTTAAATGTTCTATGTTAAATTGAGTAATTTTCAATTTTCAATGTTAAATTGAGTAGTTTTTAATTGTCTGTGTTAAATTGTGCAATTTTTAATCTTCTGTATTTTAAATCGTGTAGTTTTAAATCTTTCAATGTTAAATCGTGTAATTATTAAATGCACGAAATCTTGAAAGCTTCTCGTCGATCGAATTCGCGCATTTAATTCTTGTTAAACAATTTAGAAGAGTTACCGGAAGCTTCGCGAACGAAATTAATGCGAACTGCAAAGAATATATTCTGTACGGCGATATTAACAGATTGAAGAATCTATTTTCCCGTGTTCTGTTTTCGTCGTCGTGACGGAGTCTACGGTATTACTATAGCAAACTTCCGTTTCGACAGACGGACAAACACGCTTCGGTGCTTGCTGCGCCTTATTCAATTTTCGAACCACTCGAGACCATCGGATGTACGTATTCTATACACACGGTGGTACCGCCGCGGCGGGATCGAGCACTTTTCAATCGACCGTAGCTCTTAGTTCGACTGCAATTTCTAAGGGGGGCCACAGCGTAATTGTGTGGAGAGATTGTACAGTAATAATGACAGTCTGTGCTTTGTTGTACATGCGCAAACGTAGTACCGAAATGAAAGAGATGAAAGCCAATGGCATATTGTGCTTACAATTAAACAACGGATATCGTCATTCATTATTACTTGTACAATTACTTGTTAGTATATAATTTATTATATCAATTATGACTAATAACGATGACTGCAGAATATTGCGATTTAAGTGGAACCATTAATTTGTTTAATAATTGTTTTCCATGCGATATTATATTTCGCATATTATTCGCTATAATACAGCGTAATAACGGGAATGATAATAACGCGAAGAAATTAAATTGCGATTTAAAAATTCATTGAAAGAAATAGCTGCGCTTCAGATTTATTCCTGTGCAAAACATTGTTTTAATTCAGAGTGCAAATGTCTGAAGATTTATTCTCAAGAAAAAACAATGTTTTAATTCAGAAATTCAATGTCTGAAGATTCATTTCTCAAAAAAAGAAATGTTTTAATTCAGAATTTCAATGTCTGAAGATTTATTCTCAAAAAAAGAAATGTTTTAATTCAGAATTTCAATGTCTGAAGATTTATTCTCAAAAAAAGAAATGTTTTAATTCAGAATTTCAATGTCTGAAGATTTATTCTCAAAAAAAGAAATGTTTTAATTCAGAATTTCAATGTCTGAAGATTTATTCTCAAAAAAAGAAATGTTTTAATTCAGAATTTCAATGTCTGAAGATTTATTCTCAAAAAAAGAAATGTTTTAATTCAGAATTTCAATGTCTGAAGATTTATTCTNGAATATGAATATGAATATGAATATGAATATGAATATGAATATGAATATGAATATGAATATGAATATGAATATGAATATGAATATGAATATGAATATGAATATGAATATGAATATGAATATGAATATGAATATGAATATGAATATGAATATGAATATGAATATGAATATGAATATGAATATGAATATGAATATGAATATGAATATGAATATGAATATGAATATGAATATGAATATGAATATGAATATGAATATGAATATGAATATGAATATGAATATGAATATGAATATGAATATGAATATGAATATGAATATAAATATATATAATTATAACTTTATAAATATAAATATAATTATAATTATAATATGATTATATAATTATAATTCAGAATATAAATGACTGACTGAATCGAACCGCTTTAAACGATTATTTGGACGGGAACGCCGGTGAAATGTTTTATGCATGTATAAATTTTTTTAATGAAACATCACCGGAGATTCTTAGAAGGTTCCTCGCGTAGACATCTTGCGCTGGTTGCTCCGTCGGATAAAAACTTGGGCAAGCGTTTCAAGATGAATGAAAATTGCTGCTTCCACTTTGTCTCTGAAATTTCAAATTCTTCAGGAACTCCGCCAAGAGCCGCGCAAACTCTTACGTTGAAACTTTACCCTTCTGCTTCACCTCCAGCTTTGCTCGACCGCAGAGCTGGCTGGAAAGAACAAACTGCTTTAAGGTCTTCCAGAAAAACCGTGCATGCGGGGGACGTTATTAAAAGGATGATCCCTTTTACATTAGCAACCCACGCTTCGACAACAATTAACCCTTGAACGGTGCAACGCCGCCAGCTGCGCGACAAATATCCACGAAACCGTGAAATCTGGCTGAAAACTTTAGAATAATAGACTTTAGAATAATAATATTTTCTATATTTCATCTAAAAATCTCTGGTACATAATTTTTCTCCGTCTGAAAATTAGCTTGGATTCGACAGATCGTCCCGCGAAAATCGAATAACAATTTTATCATTTATTTCTAATTATATATATAATTTTTAATTTATTTAATTTACTTTCTTCTAAATTTTATTCGCACAAATGGAAC